ATGTATACCAAGATGGGTGTACATGTTTAATTAGTAGGAGTAATACATTTAGTAATATTACTAATGGCATTATTCTCAATACTCTTAATAGTAGTAGCAGTAATATAATATTGGCGTGAAAAGATGACGCAATCGTTAAGATATTTGCTCTTGGTGTCGCCGTGACCTGGTTCGAAAACAAAAAGATCCCCGTCCTTCACCACATACAATCTGTGTGTTGGATGCGCATATTCATATGTGTGCGTGCGTGCGTGCGTGTGTGCGTTTGTGCGAGCGTGTGTGTGTGTAATAATAATAATTACAATAATAGTAATAATAATAATAATAATAATAATAATTACGGAGAATTCTAAGGAAGTTAGATATTTGAGAATTTTCCCACAATGCAACTGAAGCGTTGAACGTGATTTAAAGGTAAATAAGGTCCAGTGCCGTGTGTTTATATGGGCAAACAAATAAGACAATCGTCATTGTATGTGTTTGTTTGTATGAATGTGCTTGTATGTGTGTGTGTGTGTGTGTTTGAATGTTTGTGTATGTGTATGAGTGTGTATGTAGGTGCCTATGTATGTGTGTGTGTGGGGGAGAAACATTTTGGATGTAGTAGCTCTGCAATAGTAGTAGTAGTAGTAGTAGTAGTAGTAGTAGTAGTAGTAGTAGTAGTAGTAGTAGTAGTAAAAGTAGTAGAAGTAGTAGTATTAGTAGTAGTAAAAGTAGTAGTAGTATTAGTAGTAATAAAAGTAGTAGTAGTAGTAGTAGTAGTAGTAGTAGTAGTAGTAGTAAAAGTAGTAGTAGCAGAAGTCGCCGCAGTATTGGCTGTTGTTTTTTTTTTATATTTTGGTTCTTTGGTTCTTCAGATAAAAGTTTGTCAACACAAAGACAAGAAGGAGAGATGGAAGGTTAAAGTGAAAAATAAATGGCGGTTGTGTCTCCATGTGACGTTTTGTTGACGTTGTATGAATACCTTTGTATGCGTACTTTTGTATTCGTAGTACTGTTGTGTATGTACGTACAGTTGTATGGGTACTACAGCTGTATGTGTACAGTTGTGTGTGTACAGTTGTGTGTGTACAGTTGTGTGTGTACTACTGTGTATGAGTAGTTTGTATGTCTACTACCGTTGTGTATCGTTGTATTTAACCTCTGTATATAGCTTATTTGCGCTTGGCCGACCGCGCGGATGAAACGGCGCGCGTTCGCGTTGGAACGTCGTTTGTGGCTACTGCAGCCGCTACCATTTTGCCGAACATCTCCCATAATCCCTTCGTACAACGGATACCACGTGACCTAGGTCTGACCTCTTTATAGGATTTATCTTGGCGTTTCATGTTTGAAAAATAAGCGACGACAAGGTGCGTTTGTGTGTGTCTGTGTGCGCGTGTGTCTGTGTGTGTCTGTGTAACGTGTGTGTCTGTCTATGCGTGTGTGTTTGTGTATCTGTGTGTGTTTGTGTGTGCGTGTGTAACTGTGAGTGCGTGCTATGGTTAAGCGTTTTGTATTCATGGAGTATTGGTCAAGTTTGGTATTTATATTAAAGTTAGTGTCAGAAATATTATCACTGCTAGTTGTATTATTAGCAGTCGTAGAAGCAGCAGTAACAGTAGTAGTAGTAGTTATTTTTGTAGTAGTAGTAGTAATAGTAGTAGTAGTAGTAGTAGTAGTAGTAGTAGTAGTAGTAGTAGTAGTAGTAGTAGAAGTAGTAATAGACACAGTAATAGAAGTTGTAGTAGTAGTAACGTTATCATTGTTATTATTTTGCAACTATATTCATTTTCCAAAAAAAAGTTCTGTACAAATATTGGCTCAAGAAATTTTAAGAATAAGCAAAAGGATGAATAGAGGAATAATAATAATAATAATAATAATAATAATAATAATAATAATAATGATGATGATGATGATGATGATGATGATGATGATAATGATGATGATATGGTGGTGATGATGATGATGATGTGATAGTTGTGGCTGTTGTTGTTTGCAGTTCAATTTCTAACACTGGTTTCGTTTACATATTCTTCTCATCTCTTTCTCTCTCTTTCTCTCTCTCTCTCTCTCTCTCTCTCTTTTTCTTTTCTGTGTTCCTTTGTTTACCACCCAACGTTTCTCTCTTTTTTTCCATGTCTCTACTTTTATATTTTCTTCTTTTTTTCTATCTCTTTCTTTTTTAGTATTTTTTCTATCTTTTTATCCCTCTAATTTTTTCATTTTCTCTTTTTTTCTTTTCCCCCCCTCTCTCTCTCTGTTTTTTATTTTTATCTCCTCAATCTATCCATTTGTCGCAAGACATCATTCGCATCTAAACGTTTAAACACTCTTTCCGCCACGTGACTTGTCAATCTCGCCTCGGCCAATAGTATTCCAGCTTAAGATCTCGAAGACTCCACCCACTTTCATAGAGCATCTATGGTAGCGATGATGATGATGACGGTGATGATGATGGTGATGTGTAGTGGAATGAATAGCATTTTATTGCGAAAGTATATATAAAGCCGGGTTGACTAGGAATTTTCGTCGTGAATTTTACGTTCTAAATTTGTTACTAAGTTTTTTTATATCATAAAATTTGTAAAGTAATTATAAATAATAAATTAATAATTAAGGCATAATAATAATAAATTAATTTTTGTTTTTTCCCAATCTGCAATTTTTTGACTAAATTTTTTTTCCGTACATCCCACCATGCAAAATTTTAACCAACAGACCAACATCGTAATTCAAAACCGAATGAGGCATTCTTCAACATACTCAGACATATCCGGCAACTCGGCATTCAACCACAACAGCAACAACAACAACAACGTCCACATCCAAAACAACAACAACAACAGCAACCTCAGCAACAACAACAACATTTCAAGATTCCCGAATCTAAATCTCAACTTCCCAACAACTCCCAACAATCCCGTCTCACCGTTTCCATCTCTGGTTTCAACTTTTCTCTCTCCATCCAGTCACAACCTGCTTCATGGCATTCCTGGCTCCATGAATGCCTTGACTCTGGCTGAACGACTAGCAGGTTATTTTGTATTTTTTGTATCTTGATTTGCATTTTGATTTGCATCTTGATTTGTATCTAGATTTGTATCTTGATTGGTATCTTGTTTTGTAATTTGTTTGTATCTTGATTTGTATTTTGATTTGTATCTTGATTGTTATCTTGTTTTGTATCTTGTTTTGTATCTTGTTTTGTATCTTGTTTTGTAATTTGTTTGTATCATATTTTTTATCCTATTTTAATCTCCCAGATTTGGCCGTCTGTTTAAAGGAATTAGCATCTAGGCTCATAAAATTTAAAATGAAATATTTTCTTTTCTTAAAGTTTAATATAGAATAAAATTAATGATATAACACTCAGCAAAGATGTCCCTGACGTGTCGTTACGTCGATACAGTTGTTAAATAAAATAAAAGTACTTGCGTTTCAATGAAAGCGATCAAATAGTCATTCAATCGAATTCATTTAAACAGAGTAAAACTTTGAAAATCAATTACGCTCTAGCAGGATTAGCAAAATAAAATAATTTTAATAATTAATTAATCAACTAACTAACTATAATTATTAATTATAAATTCCTCAGACATAATTTTAGAGGCCCGTTATGGAGGTCACAGAAAGCAGAGACGCAGCAGAACGGCCTTCACCAATCAGCAGCTGTCGGCCCTTGAAAAAACTTTCCTCAAGACCCACTACCCAGATGTTGTTATGAGGGAGAGACTGGCCATGATGACCAATCTACCTGAGGCCAGAATCCAGGTTAGTCTTCCAATTTGTAGAAATAAATTATTATTCAGTAGCGTAGGGACCCTCAAACACCCTTTTGGTAAAGCCCTCAACAACCAATCAAACATTTATGTAGCGTGATTTGGGACACAAAAAAGTAAAAAAAATTTTATCAAATGAAGGTATGGTTCAAAAACCGACGGGCCAAGTACCGCAAGAAGCAGCGCTCCGTCAAGAACAATCCAGAAACGACGACGACCTCGCAATTGAAAATCCTCAACAAGGCATCTCTTCTCCAAAAGGACACATCCAACAAAACTGGATCTACACCCACTTCCTCTGAAAAAATGACAGCCCTTCTCAACGCTACAGCCTGCCCTGACAAGCAAACAACATTAGCGGATAATTACAAATTACCATTCGATGTTAAAGTTGAGTCGGACGACGAACCAATCAATTGTGACTATTTTTTTCAACAACAACAGCAACAACGGCTATTTTCGCCCCAAAAAGTTAAAGACCATTTTGTGTTTACATCTCCTAAGAAAGAAGAAGTAAACGAAGATGGTGTGAGGATGGAGTCTGATTCTGGGGCATTCCAGAAACATTCGTCATTGGAACTTTTGAAACAGGGTATGCGTGTGTTTGTGTTTGTGTGTGTGTGTGTGTGTGTGTGTGTGTGTGTGTGTGTGTGTACTTCCAACTAATTTAAATAAAGTTTTGAAAACGTTTTTTTATTCAAATTTGCAGACGACGAAAGTAACTCCTCAGTCAATATTGACGTGGATGAAAATAGCAATCAGTCGCAACCACAACAGCCACTACAACCACAACCACGAAACGACTTCTTGGCAAACTACATGCCACATTTTTTCACCAACAAAAATCAATTTTTATCACCATTTCCACCTCCACCATCATCTTCGTCTTCCTCATTCTCATCATCATCGTCGTCGTCATCATCGTCATCTATAATGTTTCCTACTGGGAAAAATGTGATGATGATTCCACCATCGTCGTCATCATCATTTTGCTCATCCGATCATCGTCTCACTCCTGTTAGCGAAGGTACAAAAATACAGTTGTGGCAAAAATTGTTGCACGTAGGAATTTTTTTCAAATAATTTTACCAAAATAATAATGAAAAATGAATTTATCTTATAATCTATCTAAATTAAATAATTCTATCTTACTTAATAAACACAAAACGTCAACTTTTTTTTAAAAACTCACTTGTAGAAAAACTTTCCGACCAAACCAACACCAACAACAACAACACCAACAACAACAACAACACCAACAACAACAACAAAATCTCCCAAAAAAACCCAATGCTAGAACACTTATGGCAGATCTCAACAAACAACCCAACATCAGCGTCATCATTGACCAGCATCATCAACGATAAACACAACAATATCAACAACAACAACAACGACATTTCCTCAAGTCATCTCATATTTAACGACCCAGCATACAGCAACACAATTCCGCAACCTTACGCCTTTAGACCACCATCTTATTTCAACCAAGCCTGCGGTAGAAATCTTTTTGAGTCATTCTTACCGAAAAAAATGGCCGATACCCCGATGACTATGCTCAGTGCGCAATCACTATTCCACAGTTCGTTACCTCATTTCATTGCAAACGCGCCTATTCCATCCAGTTTTTTTTCCTCCTCGCTAGTGCAGCTGCGGAACGGCGGGAACACCTTTCTACAAAATATGTTTGAAAAATCTTTGATGGAATCTGTACAGCAGCAGCATCTGCAGCAGCAACAACATTCGCCACAGCAGCCACAACAACATCAGCAGCAACAACCACAACAACAGCATCAACACAAGCATACAAACTTTTCAATAATCGATGAGGATTCTAATAACCAGAACCCTTACGAAAGCGGCCATCTGTTGGGAGAAAAGTTTTTTCTGCTAAACAACAACAACAATAACAACAACAATAACAACAACAACAACATGATCAACACACATGTCAGAAGTAAGAATCAGACGGCCATTAATTCAAAACGCAATAATAGTAATAGCAATAATAATGTGGTCATTGATTCAACTATTACAGACGATTAATAAAGTCTTCCAATTAACTAATTACCTTAATTAGTACATATGTTCATATATGATTGATTAATTAATCAATTAATTTCATATAAAATAATTTTTTTTTAATTTGAAAACTATTATAATGATAAATATAATAAAATGATGAAATTTAGGTATGAGTGAATATATGAATTAATGAATGAATGAACGAATGATTGGATGGTTAATTGATCGATTGATTAATTGATTCAATGATATAAATAGGTAGATTAATAACATAGCTAGATAGATTGATTAAATAAATATAGATTGATTACAAGTAGCATATATATCTGAAAAATAATTTTATAATTGTAAAAATTAATAACGTATATAAAATTTTGAAATTGAATTTATACGAATCCTAACTATAAAATTTTTTTGTTTGTGTATAAGGTAAATTTTTTACGTTATTTTGATTATATAGGTTATTTTCATTTATGTATCTTATTATTTCATTTTTAATAACATTTTATTTATTATCATTGCATTAATCTAGCTCCCATTAATATACTCTAGACTGATTGTTGAAATTATTAATTATATTAATTATAACTACATAATTAATAATGATAGTTATAATTACACTAGATACAATTGCTAAAATAACCATGTTCGAATGCGGTCTGAGCTAAAGACGAAGATTTTCAGCACACCTATCTTGCGTATGATGAGGTACTTAGTTGTACATGAAAATTAGCGTGGAGTGTGTGTATTTTGTGTCGTGTGAATGTGCATCGTGCAGAATGTTTAAAGTTTTTTGTGACTAGCTAAGAAGCTATTTTTAGTCATCTCTTCGTTTTTCAAATCTGCAAAAATACAAAAAAAATTCCAAAATTTGTACTTTTAGTAAATATTTAATAATCGCCAGATAGTAGTCGAGAATTTAGTTAAAAACCTTTTACGTATTTGTAAAGACTGGAGATACATTTTATTTGATCTAAAACAAAATCCGTTTTTAGTAAATTATCATAATTAATTACAAAATGTTAAAAATATTTTCAACGGGATAAAAATTGCTATCTTTATTTGACAGTCTCTAACACGAGAGTAGTCAACATTTTTGCAACCAAGTCATTTGAGTACTAGGAATTAAAAATGAACTTTGAAAATTTTTATTCATTCGCAAGATCCATTGAATCTAATTTTTAAATATATATCTCTCAAACAAGAAAAAATCTAAATATATCTTTCATATTTAAAATATATTATTTAATATCCTTATAATTTATATTTATCAGATATAAATGGCATAAATAAAACATATTTATGTGCCAAAAAAAAGAATAGCAGATAAATCGCAAATAAAGATCTGGAATGTGATATTATTTTGTCCAAGATACTTTAGGAATGTCGTTGTATTCAGTCAGTTTGTCCATCTTCACATTGAACTCCAAGATTCTTTCTCTGTGACTTTTAAAAGCTTTTTTCTTCAATTCCTCTATGGACCTCTTCTCTTTGGCTTTCTCAAAGGCAATTTCAGCTGCCGTCTTCGCGACTGGTTCAACGCTTTTGGAGTACCCCATATCGACTAATCTGACGTTCGAAGAGTTCACCATTTCGGCTATTTCTTTCTCCCCGACGTTTTTAATTTTTTTGTTTTTCATCTTTTTCTTAATTTGAGGATCAGAAACTTTCTTCAGTTTCAGAGGTCCTTTAGAAGCTAGTTCGTATTCAGACATGATACTTCGAAGTTTTTACGATTTGAAAAATTCAGAATAAATTGCCAAATCTCTCTCGGATCTGCAAGTTTTAGAAGCTGAAGTGATGGCTTATTATTATATACCTATTTAAGAGCATAGAACTGATATTCCGATCGTAAAATTACAAAGAACTGATAATCAGATCGTAAAATTACAGTTTAAAGTTTAGAATTTACGAACGTAAATTTACAACCATAGACATATAAATAAGAACTGTTATTGTACTAAAGTTTACAGTACATGTCTTATATTTTTTATTGCATGTGCTATATGTGAACTTTTACAATTCCCATTTAATTAAAACAATGCACTGAGAAGATTCATCAATACGCCAATTACATTTTTGCGGCATAAAAACAGCTAACTGGCAATTGATCAACATTTTAGAATTTTCAACAATTCTATATTAAAATTTACAACAAAAATCAACTGAAAGTTAACTTTTCTTCATTATGTCTTTGTGCAGAAGCACACGAACAACATTTAAAACATAGAATCCACATAAATCAACCGAGTAAAGGATTTTGTTTAAATGGACAAAGTGAATGGACAAGGAAAATTATCGAACATCGTTATCAACAAATTTAATCAAATTTGTAATCAAATTTCCATACAAAGAATAACAAATTTATTGATAAAAAACGAATACAAAAAATTCAATTAGATAACTTAATTCAAACATTAACACTAACATAGTAATATTGTAACTCACTACTAATACAACAATTTCAGAATATAAAAACGATGAAAAAAACATTGAAAAATATTATGATATAAAGGCCGGACAGAATTTAATATACGCAAAAACAACACATCTCTTATCTTCTCTTTCTTTCTCAAAATTTCAAAACTTTCATGTTGTTTGTCTCTTTCCTTCTCTCTCACTTTCTTTCTCTCTCTTTCTCTCACTTTCTCTCTCTTTCTCTCTCTCTCTCTTCTAGACTTCTAGACACGCGCAGGCAGCAACGGTAACAAAAACAGTACACCACACAGCCATACACACACACACCACACACACACACACACACACACACACACACACACACACACTACTAACAACAACAACCCGAAGATTACACAACCTCAATCGAGTAGTGCACAAAAAAAAGTTCGAGTGACCATTACGTAACTATCAATTGATCGTCACTCCAACCGAACTTCATGTAATACTGAAACACAGAATACTACCAAATAGTAAAAGTCGTAACCATAAATAAATACTACCTCATCAGCTACTACTTTTGCCAAGTATTTTAAATATATATTTTTTTGCCAAGCGGTTCTGCGTATGTCAGAGCTTCAATAATAAAGACTAATGACTAAAAAAATATGCTGTGAAGTTCTACATCCAAGAAATTTCTCATTTCACATCTAAATTTATATACATATATAACATTTTCTTGGTGGATGAAAATTAATTTGAAATTTAAAGCGGAATATACGGCAAAATGTTAAACACTATTACCCATACACACGCACACACACACGCAAGCAGGCACACACACGCACACACACGCACACACATGTAAGCACGCACACACACGCAAACACTCACACACACTCACACATATTATATATGTTCATAGATGTTGTTCTATCATGATTAAAATAAATAGAAATTTCGGTTTTACACTCAAGAAACTTGACAATGATTTACGATCGACCGTTAGCAATATAGAAAAATTAAACGGGTAGCTTATTAACGCTGAACACGCCGTGATTTTCATCAATAATTGTATTTTTGACTGTCTTAATCCATTATATATATATAATTGACTGTCTTAGCCAATTATATGTATGTATATATATATATATATATATATATATATATATATATATATACATACATGTGTGCACATAAACACTTCTACAAGCAAAAATACATGAAGATGATATTAATACTTTTTCTTGGATTCGTGTTGATTTCAATTATATAGAATGTAGTCGATCTAATGAAAGGCAGATGCTGAAATTGTTGAATAGATTGGATATATGTGTTTTTGTATGTATGTTTGTACGTGTATGTATGTATGTATGTATGTGTGTGTATGTGTATGTATTTGTATGTATGTATGTGTATGAATGTGTATGAATGTGTATGTATGTATGTATGTATTGTTATTGGTTGTTTGTTTTGTAGTTGTTCAGTGCATCCTTTCATTCTTTTGATATATCATAAGTGTCTTTCTTGCACACATGTCTACATACATGTACGTATGTGTACACACAGACATACGTACATACATACATACATACATACATACATACATACATACATACATACATACATACATACATACATACATACATACATACATACATACATACGAAACGAAACGAAATTTTATTTTTAATACACACACACATACATACATACATACATACATACATACATACATACATACATACATACATACATACATACGAAACGAAACGAAATTTTATTTTTAATACACACATACATACATACATACATACATACATACATACATACACACATACACACATACACACATACATATACACAAACATACATTTCTTGAGTGTCGTCTCATAGATGTAGAGTGTTGTTTTTTGACAACTTTATTCTGTCACGCACTGTTTACAAATCGTTCCTGCAAGATTTCTTACGTAAAAAATTATTATTTGATGTCCTATAATGTTCTGTATGCATGTATGCATGTAGGGCCATACACATGTGTGTAGATGTTTGAATTTGTGTGTTGTTGTGTATATATATTTATATGTGTGAGTGAGTGTGTGTGTGTGTGTGTGCGTGCGTGTGTAACTCTTTTTTTACCGTAGTTTTTTCACAGATTGTAAACTCTATGGAAAAATCAATAAAGAAAAACCAATAAGAATAATATGTATAAAAAATTATTACCAAACTTGTTAGTTGGTAGTGGGGTAAGGCCTAGAATACCCAATGGCTAAATCTTAAAGGTACTAGCCAAACGACCCTGAACATTTTACATTCAATGGCACAGTATAGCGAAAATATTAACAGTACATGAATATCAACATTACATATATATTGGGCTAAAGTACAATGTTTATATATATACATATATGCCTGTATGTATGTCTGTGTGTGTTGTATGTATGTATTAATGTTTGTTNGTGTGCGTGCGTGTGTGCGTGCGTGTGTGTGTGTGTGCATGTGTGTTTGCATGCGTATGTGTATGAAAAGATGAACTGAAGATAAGAGATGCAAATATCAAAGACAATACATGTAAACTTATTTCTGAACCTATGCCTGTATATCTTATTAAACAAATAAATACATCTAGTCAAACACATCTGGTACAGTTTTGTTTTTTGTATTGATTGAGTATTATTGTATATAAGTGCTATGTATGTGTATACAAATACATTCAAACATACACAAATACGTAAACCAACTAACGCATATATTAAACATACATACATACATACATACATAACGCTTACACGCATACATACATTCATACATACATTTTAATCCATTTGTTACTTGATGTTTGACGGTTCAGTGTCACTCATCATGTTTTGGTTTTAACATACATACATACATACATACATACATACATACATACATACATACATACATACATACATACATACATACATACATACATACATACATACATACATACATACATACATACATACATACATACATACATACAAACAAACACACACACGTACACATACACATACACGCACAAACAAACAAATGAGTGTTTATTGCATATCAACGGTTATAGATCGAGGCAGGAAATTCACTTTTCGTCGTTCGATCTCTGCTGTTTGTTTTGTCCATTGCCTACGTCATCATTAGCATTTTCGTCATCATTGTAACTGACGTCATCAGCAGCAGCCACAGCAGCCACAGCAGCGTCACGTCTCCAGCCACATCCGGATTTTTGACGTTTCTCGTCCGCCTTGAATATTTAAGTTCGATTTCTCTATAGTACGGTATCGTATTCTAGCGTTTACCTGAAAACGTCACGCCAATCATTTTGTCACTCACTCTATTACTAATTTATTCATTCATTCGTTTGTTTGTTTGTCTTTTATTCTTTTATTCGTTCTTTTATTCATTCATTCTTTGTTCCTTCATTCATTCATTTTTGTTCGTTCATTCATTTATTCTTTTAGTTTTTAGTAGCAAATAAAATTTCATTGAATTCATTTGTTTGTTTGTTTGTTCATTCGTTCCTTCCTTCATAAATTAATTAATTAATTAATTAATTAATTCATTCATTCATTCATTCACTCACATTAGTACGTTGGTTCGTTCGTTCACTGATTAATTCCTTTATTTATTCCCTCTTTCGTTCTTTTTTCTTTCTAAAATATTTAGATAAAATGCCAATAATAGAATGGAGAATCACTCATCAAAAATTTCAAAATAAATATTTACCGTCTCAAAACAATCACCAAAAAAATATAATAACAACAATAATAATAATAACAATATTAATAATAACGAAAAAATATATGAAAAAATCTCCAACTTAAAACACGCTTGATCGCTTTCGAATCGCCTATTATCAATTTTTGTTTTTATTATTATTATTATTAGTAGTAGTAGTATTATTACAACTACTACTACTATTACTATTATTATTATTATTATATATCTTTATAATATTAAAATATTATTATATTCTGCATCTTATTTATTTACAGTCTGAAATATCAAATTAATAATTTTCGATTGACTTCATTTGGATTTTATCTTTTCGGCCAATAAAAGAATGTTTCCATCATCATCATCATCATCATCATCATCATCATCATCATCATCATCATCGTCATCATCATCATCGTCATCATCATCATCATCATCATCATCATCATCATCCTAATTATCATCATCATTATTATTATCATCATCATCATCATCATCGCCATTGTTATTATTATTATTATTGTTGTTATTATTATTATTATTATTATCATCATCATCATTATTTTATTAATATTAATATTAT